TCGGTGACACAGCGGTTCTGTAGATGGTCAATAGGGTAACATACGATAACCTTTGGTCGAAATTAGGCCGCTGCCTTTTTACCAACAGTATGGTCGCTTTTAAGGAAAAGCAGGCTAACCCAGATTTCAAGCGCTTTCCTGAAATCTTGACCTACACCAAAAGTGGGCATTGCCCTACCTATAGGAGAAGTGTGGTATCATTTGTGTGTATATTTGTTTGGTTACAGAGAAAACTCTCCTTGTCTTTTAAAGAAACTGAACAAGGGGCAAAAACTTTACCTTCGATTTTCTCAAAGCAGCATAATATTTCGGGATAGCCCCCTTGTGCTTAAAAGCGACCGTATAATATACTACGGTGGTTGTAAGACTGTTATTGGTGTGGTATTTTCAGAGTGGGACGTTAATGAATGATTGTTCGCATAATATACTGTCATTGTAACACAAATTACACATTCTTAACGATTATACTCAATAACTGTGATGGTTCATTCATACAGGATGTCTCTAAAGCCTGGATTCAAGGACAAGACGTATAGTTATGTCACCACACCTCGCAATCAAGCGCGCATCAATTTGTGTGATTATAGGATTATCATATTATTCAACAGCTTTTTAATATTATGCCTTGTTTTGGATGAAAACGATACTCATCTACCTGGAATGAAGGTCAAGATATTTGCGATTTAAGAAGATTGGCGTTAATGTCTGGTGTCTGAGGTAACATGAGCGAGACAATTATGGTCGTCAAAGTTTGGTGACCTTCAACTTTGGACTGTCCTTGGAAGCTGCAAATTTACTTTTTTGTGTCTTTGATCGTCGATGTTTTTTTAGTAAAAGCCACACATACCTAAATATTTTTTTAAATGGACATAACAGATGATGATGAGTCGAAAAAGAAATTATATCAATAAAAATTGCCAAACCCAAGAAAGTGGGTGTTTGGCGGGTGTTCGGATGGGGTTTGCTTCTTCTTTTCTATCAAACATCTATCGTCTTTATCTCCCCTTCTTCTTTTTTGTGTCTGTTACTGTCTTGTAACACCTCTGATCTTCGGCACTTATATGACTTTATTGTGTTGCAAGTGCCGTAAAACACTTACAGAAAAAAGAAGACAAAAGGGCGGTTTCTTTGATTTAATCTTTTAAAAAAAACCAACATTATATGCAATCAATGTAATCAGTTAGAATACTGACATGTAACATCTTCAATTTTACGATTTGCGAATAACGATTGTAGTGGGTTTTTTAAAAATATGGTTGGTTTTTGGCAAAGTTCCTTTTGAGTAAAAATTGTTATTATTGCACAACCCATTTATTTCTGTGTATGTTACTCTTTAGTAGCTCATCTAATATATCAGACTTGTATATTACCTAACTGTGTTGCAAATGAAGTAAAACACGTACTAAAGCAAACAAAAAACATTTTAAAAAACACAAAAACCCCCAAATCCCACCCCCCCCCCCCCCCCAACGAAAAAAAGCAAAGCAATTATGAAGTGATATATTTCTTTAATGTCCAAAGTAGGCGATTCTTCTCTTGTTCTTTAAAAATCTGTGTAATTTCTTCTCTCATTCTTTCATTTACTGTCTGCGATTTCTTCTATCGTTCCTTTATTTACTCTCAGCAATTTCTTCTATCCTTCATTCATTTACTTTATAAACAATTTCTTCTCTCCATCACTCTTTTACTCTCAGCAATTTCTTCTCTCGTTCACTCATTTCTTCTCAGCAATTTCTTCTCTCGTTCACTCATTTACTCTCAGCAATTTCTTCTCTCGTTCTCTCATTTACTCACAAAATCTTCTCTCCTTCACTCATTTTCTTTCAGCAATTTCTTCACTCCTTCATTCATTTATTCTCAGCAATTTCTCCTCTCGTTCACTCATTTACTGTCAGCAATTTCTTCTCTCGTTCACTCATTTACTCGCAAAATCTTCTTTCCTCAAGTTCCCCAAATATCGATCGGTCCGCGTGTCTTTCAGTTACTGGGCAAGGGTGGTCACCTACACCGTTATTCTCTCTCTCTCTCTCTCTCTCTCTCTCTCTCTCTCTCTCTCTCTCTCTCTCTCTCTCTCTCTCTCCCTCTCTCTCTTCCCTTTCCCTTTCTTTCTTCGTGCGCTCCCACCTCTCTCTCCCAATGTCTCTGTCATTCATTCTTCTCCCCATCATTCTCCCCTATTTCTCTCTCCGTCTCTCTCTCTCTCTCCTTCTTTCTCTCCCTGTCTCTCTCTCTGTCTCTGTCTGTCTCTGTCTCTCTCTCCGTCTCTCTCTCTCTTTCTCTCTCTCTCTCTCTCTCTCTCTCTCTCTCTCTGTGTGTGCATTTCTCTGTCTCTTTCTCTTTCTCGCCATCCCACCCACTCTCTGTCTCTCATCTCCCTATCATTCTCCCCTATTTCTTTCTCTCTCTTTTTCTCGCTCTCTGTCTCTCTCTGTCTTTCTCTGTCTCTCTCTCTGTCTCTCTCTGTCTTTCTCTCTCTCTCCCCCTCGCTCTCTCTCTCTCTCTCTCTCTCTCTCTCTGTCTTTCTCTCTTTCTCTTTCTCACCACCCCACCGACTCTCCATCTCTCATCTTTTTCCTTCACTTATTCACTCCCTCACTCACCCACTCTCTTAGTCAGTAACTCCCTGCCTCCCTCCCTCCATCCACCCAACCCTGTCTGTCTGAGTGGCTGACCGACCTACCATCACAATTTCTCTCTCTTTCCTTTACTTATTCACTTCCTCACTCACTCAGTAACCACCTGCCTTGCTCCCTCCCTTCCTCCCTCTCTCGCTCCCTCCAGCCAACCTTGTCTGTCAGAGTGACTGACCTATCATCACAATTTCTCACGCTTTCTTTCACTTATTCACTTCCTCACTGACTCATTCAATCAGTAACTCCCTGCCTTTTTCGCTCTCTTCCTCCCTCCCTCCCTCCCTCCATCCCACCCAGACTGACTGACTGACTGACTGACTCTCTCACCTATTTCCCTTAATCACAGAGACTCTCTCACACTCTCTCTCTTTCTCTCTCTCTCTCTCTCTCTCTCTCTCTCTCCTGCCCTGCACATATCATAGTCCACTTTTATATCGACTATTCACTCTTCTTGTATCCGTCGAGTTTATTTTCAATTCAAATACTAATCACATTCCTCCTCCATTTTCTGCTAGTCTGTGCACGAATCAAACTTTACCCAATCCATCCACACTTCCCTTCTTTGACTCATTCAGGTCCTAACTCATTCAATTACCCCAACACGCAATCATGCATTCATTCACCCCACACTCCAAACCCTCATCTCAAAACCGGCCAAAAACCTCTCTGTATTGAAGCAGAATCTCGTAATATCTCCAGCCCTTCATCAGACAAACACAGCCAGACAGCACAGCACAAAGACGCGGGAACCCCAGGCCTGTAATATCAGACAGTCTACACTTAAACATCCCCCGGAATGTCTCAGACACTCTTCTCTCTCAGACACACACGGATTCGATACTTCTTATCTATCTAGCTAGCTATCTACCCGTCTGTCTATCTACCTACTCGTGTATCCATCTATCTATCTACTTGTGTATCTATCTATATGTCTACCCGTCTATCTAGCTATCTACCTATATGTCTATCCATCTATCCATCCATCTATCTATCTATCTATCTATCTATCTATCTATCTATCTATCTATCTATCTACTCGTGATTCTGTCTATCTGTCTATTTACCCATCTATCTACTATCTATCTATCTACTCTGGTATCTATCTATCTAGCTATCTATCTTCCCGTCTACCCATCTCTCTATCCGTCTATGTCTATCTACCCGTCTATCTGTCTATCTGTCTATCTATATCCATGTTTCTACTCGTGTATCTATCCACGTATCTATCTATCTATCTATCTATCTATTTATCTGAGCCAGCCATCACTTAAACCTCTCCCTCCCTCCCCCCACCCCCAAATCTCCCCCATACGACCCCCAAGGAACCACCGCCCTCACAGCTGCCAACCTACTCTTTGAGATGCTCTGTGTTTTGCCCAAAGTCAAATACTACTAAAATAGGTGGCCGCTACCACTGTTTTTTTTCTAATTATAAGAATGTTGTTTGTTTTTATCTTTGTTTGTTTGTTTGTTTTTTGGGGGTAATTGTTTTACGGCGCTCTCAATTGCATATAGTCATATTATTATGAGCGTGCGGGACACATTAAACTTTTTCAGTTTGGAAGGAAATTTTGAATTTTGCCCGGTTAGCGGCCAAAGCCTACTCTTATCGATTTTTGACCACCAACTGATCTTTAACGTGGGCAACTTGCACACTTGCCCTCCGAGAATGCTCGCCCTTGTCCGAGAAGGCTAGGTGTAGATCTTTCCTATTGAAAATCAGGGGTGTGACTGAAAGACAGCAGTGAGAGGAGCCATGGAGTAGTAGTAGAAAGGCTGCAGAAAGAGTCAGGAGCCCAGAGGAGGGGGCAAAGGAGGTGAGGGGGTGGGGGCAGAAAGGGGAGACGAAAGTAGACAACAGAACATTGCTAGAGAGAGCAGGGAAGAAGGTGAAATGAAACAATTTTAGAGAAGAAATTGTTTCGGTCGCTACCCGGATTCGAACCTTTGACGCTTGAATGAGAGGCCAACACCTTAACCTCTAGGCCACGAGATTCCCCCCTATTAATGTTTATAAAAATAAAATATTAAAAGTAATAATAATGATAGTGATAATAATGAT